TTTATATATATACGCCGTTCTAATTTTATATCGTTCATTGGCCGCGAATATCTAAATTTATTCCCGAATTGGCAGTACGTAATATCAACTCGCAAAATTAACTTTAACTATATATAAGATTTTCGCTAGCTATATTTAATGTCATATTTGTTTCAATATCAAAACAGAAAATAGATTGAGATAAAAGAGAGACGTAAAGCAGACATGGCAAGAAAAGTATCTTTTATACAGTGGAAAATATGTGAATGAATCACCTTTACTGAAACAAAAAGTAGAATAACTCACAACCACAAAAGTAAAGATATTTTCTTTATTACGCTTCGAGTACAAAGTAACTATTTCTGTTCTCATAGAAATTTTGAACTCATTGATTTTGTTAAATTTATATTAGATTTATTAGTTCATTTCTGTTCGAGTTCCTCCGCTAGGACATTGTAAACAAATAATTGATACATCAAACTAAAAAAAAAAAAAAGGATTATGTACAGAAATTCACATGAATGAGAAGTACTTTAATTGGCATGTCCATTTCAATAATAAAATATCTTGCCGAATCAGTAGATGTTGAAGTGCTGATTATTGATTGTCTCATAGTATATCTTATAATTCCAATTTCCAAAAGCACTACCTCTCTTTTCAAACCCCCATTTTAAAAATCAAAGGATTTTGCCAAATGAGAAGCTACTAAAGTGTTAATTTATAATGATTTCGGCATCCACCGAAATAAAAAGCACCATCGCCTCTTGTCAAAAGGAAACTTGTTCAACAAATACAAAGTGGTTATCCACGTAATTGCAACATCAAAATGCATTTTCCCTCAAATTAAAAATCAAAGTCATTCGGGGTTATTTGCTCTCTCTTTAGACTTTGAAAGATATGTAAATTACAATTAAGGTCGACCTCTCATTTGTTCTGTACAGATCCCTTTCAATGTATTTCTACTTTATCATGAGTAGTCACTGTGATTTCAGAATTTGTAAGTCACAAAATTAATATGAAACTTTTAGGTATAAAACGCGTTTGCATGAGTCATACATATATATTCTTATCCGGTTTGGATTGATCGCTCCAACTTCTGGAAGACAGGAATAAGACATGAAGATCCATGACCGACCTCTAATTCACATTCATTTATTGTTTTCCGTTGCCACGCCAACATGCCCTAAAAAGCGGAAAAAAGAAACAACGGAAAAGACAGTTACCTAAGATTAAGGTCTCTCACTAAAACTCTCTCGAGAAAGCTCATGATGTAAGGGCAGCTTCATTGAATGCAGCATTGTTTTTGGGTGTTGATGACGGTTAGGGTTTGTACTGTTTCAAGATGATTCCCCAATCCACAAGTCATGGATTTCACCTTTTGCTTTATTAATTTGGATAAGTGGGATGGTTCGAACAGTGTTTCCTCTTTGGCCAACACTTCACTGGTCTCATTCTTCATGAGAAGATTTTTGACGATTTTAGAGATGTCCGGTTGGGACTGGATAATGTGGCCATTATCAATCTTTTCAAAGTCTGTGAATTCTGGTGGCACGTAATTAAGCTTAGGCATCAACAGTTACATCATGCACGGTCCTACATACTCCCAACGTTGCATTCTGTTCATACGTGGAACTATTATACCCTTTTCTTTTGAACCGTTCAATGATCTTATCAGGTGGCCTAGCTAGAATGTAATATTTGTCAAAGCTCATATCATTTTCTTTTGGCATATTTCCATGGTGCTCGCTTTGAGTTGATTAATTATTTAATCCCGTTAATTATGTGTCGATTAAATTATGCAAACTTTTCTCAAATTTTGTTAAAATCATTAAGACTTCATTTCTATTTTCAAAAGTTACCCTGACCTTCTTTAAGTCGTGCTGAAATTACGCGAGCACCCCATGTATTTTTTAAGGTGAGCTAAGCACCCTTTTGATTTTTAAAATATGCAGTGCGTAGTGTCTCTCTGAAAATAGAAGAGAAGTCTACATGATTTCGGAGAAATTAATTCACCGGAAGTATGTATTATATTACCTCTGGTTCTTAATATAAGATCTTATTTGACTTTTATTTTGGTTTTAAATATAAGACCTCAATCCACTTTATTTTTAATATTTATTCATTTTTTTCCTAAGATAGTCCTTCTAATAATAATAGTTCAAGTTAACACACTTGATTAGCAAGGATATTTTAGGAAAGACAACACTTATTTATTATAAATAACTAACTCAACTTATTTTTTTATTCTCTTCAAATTAGTCAACTAGCTCTTATAATTAGGATCGGGGGTAGTATTACATTTGATATCTCTGATCATCAAGGAGGTCAATGCAGGTAATTCAGGTTTAATTTCTATGAGAGATCCGCACAGTCTTAACAAAATACTAGAGTATTTCAAAGCAAGTTAATGTGCTTGTCAATTCCTCATATTAAGTGATTTAACAAGAGGCTCAACATACTTTTTTACAATTAAGTAGTACATCATTGAAAGTGGTGGAGCTCTAGCTTCAATCCGCGGGGTTCAAGTGTACGTTCGACTGTTAATGATCTTTTTTGGGGTCTGGAACTGATAATTCTTTTGGACTTTTCAATAGTTTGTTCTTTTGAAAAGTAGGGAGATAAATGATTGTGAAAATTATTGCTGGCCTGGAACAAAACAATTTCTTCAACTTCGAAAGGAAAAAAAAGAAGGACAAAGAGGTCTCAAGGAGGGTTTTTATTGAGATATTCATGTAATGCCAGCAGAATGGAAAAGTCATTTTCTTTTCGGATGGAAAACACTTTTTTCTGATGCGCCAAACGTACTGGAAAACCTTTGTATACTCGCAGCTCTGCGGATCTAATTAAACCTAAGATAATTAATAGCTGTCTCTGACTAATTACAAAGTCACAATCCCTCCGTCAATTTACGCTGTCTTTATATCTATCTATTTAGAAAAATTTGTATACCATATACTGAACATAAGTTAATTAATCATTAATGTCATGTGGAAGTGTGGAACATAATATATGGATACGAGACTGAAAAGATATTTTGCACGTACGTCAATCTCCAGCAATAAGGTTTTAATCAATGAGTCGCAATATTAAGTTGCTTAAAGTTAAAAGTTTTGAACTTTTGATAATAAATCTCGTAAAACATGGTAATAACTTTGGTTCTTGAAAATAGTAATAATTTTTGAGATCCTTGAATCCAAATTTAATGACACTTGAGTCCTCGACTATACTTGCCTCTGTAAAAAAAAATGCATGATGAAGATGTTACGTTGTGAATGATGATGTCCACACGCACAGGGGATACCTAATTGATCCACAGAGTTCTGATATGCTCTTATTCAATGACGTACAGGAGTTTGTTATTGACTCCTTTTCAAGCCGTAAGAAGGGCAGCTTTTTGTGAATCACGTTATGGAACTATCAGTAATGCTAATCTACTATTTGTTCCATTACTTTCTAGATCATCTTATTCAGTTTACTTGGTGATGACCTCTCCTTTTTATTCATTGTATTTAGGGTATTGATGACACTTCTTTAGTTGTCAACTTCACTTTGAAAATCATATAATTAAAAAGGGCACTATAAGAAGCAACCACACATGACAAAAAGTTATGATGTGTTGAAGATCCACCAAAGCCAAAACTGCAATTGGCAAATTATTAATTGCTAAGTACTTGGCAGATAACTACAACTGACTTTTGCTAGCTAGACCTCCCAGGAAATAAGCAATATGTGTGTGTGTGTGTGTACTTGGCAGATAACTACAATTGACTTTTGCTAGCTAGACCTCCCAGGAAATAAGCAGTGTGTGTGTGTGTGTAAAGCTACTTCATGAGAAAGAATCTTATTTTGATTGATGACATATCTTATTCTGCATATACGTTACAATAGAGAGTTCATTCTTCTCAAGCGTAAGGACCATAAAAAACACCGTAAATCTTTTGAGTTGTTTCGCAGGTACAAACAGTAAATTATCATTGGGTGAAAGTTGATCACGAGGCGCTTAAATAATTAGCTTATTCGTAGACGTTACTCATTGGGCTCTCAGAACGTAGAATTATGATATTACATGCAAATCTTGAACACATTTGCCAAAGATGAATGAAGGGTTTAAGTCAGCTGAGCTAGCAAACACATAAGTTTTGATTTGAGTTGATCTGATATATAATCAGTATATCGGCCTATATTGGACTCCACAGATAACATAAAAGTATAAAACCATATATGCCGGTTACTCAAATCTATGATGTATCTATTTCATCTCAATGCTCACCCTTTGGCCAGCCTTTGCTGGCAAATGCTCTTTAATTTGCCCATTGAAGAGGAATCTTTCTATTTATGAGAATGAATTGGTGGCCCCCTCCGTGTTTGCAGCCAAACAGTCGTTTTTATGTGTGCAAGGACAGACATACTGTGTATTAGAATGATCACTGGGCTTTATATAGTATCCTTTTTTTTTTTTGGGGGGGGGTACAATTTTCAGAGTATCCTCAAGTCAATTTAATTGTTCCGCAAAAATAAGTTTGAGGTTTGAATTATGAAACATTGCATTAAACGAGTAAACAAAACAAGTTGTGAACGCTCTTTCTCGATGGTTGACTCGAGATTAGTTGAAGGGTGATGGAAAGATGATGTGTCCTGCATTAGGCATAACAAAAGTTAAGAAGCTAATTACTCAAGAATTTTCTTCGGGATGCTCTTGGTTTAAACTCCTCTCTTGTGTTTTCTATTGGGAATGACTAATAGAAGGATGTACAAAATTTTGCGAGAAATTGGCTGATTTGGCCAGGCCTTATTTCAGCACCTCAAGTTCTTCAAACTTATGGACAAATCTCTCCATGGATTTTATTGGGCTTGGTTTGCCCAATATTACAGTCAGTCTGCTATTTTGGCAGCGAAGTTGCCCAGTTCATGGCCCTTAAACATCCATATTCAATAGTAAATATAAAGCTCATATGCTTCGCTACTGGAATACTCACTTAATGCCATTAAACTCACAATACTTTGGAGGCTACACAAATTAGTTCTATCTACGTATTAACAAAATTATTTTAGTAAGGAGAAACTTAGAACTATTATTACAGGATGATCACAAAATCTGCACAGATAAAGCCAAATAAGACTGAGTCACCTCAAAACAATCATTTAAACAACAATGTCAAAAGACTTGGGAGCATTCAACATTTCTCATAGCCTATATGAAAAGCATAGGGAAGCCCTCAGCTTGAAGAAGGCAGCATATTAATCAACATATGCCTCTTCAAAGGGGATCTCATACATACAATGAACTTCAAATAGTATCAACCCGATCGATCATATCCAGTGCCTTGAGACGGTCAATATCAAAGTTGATGACAGGAATAGAAGATAGCCTTCGTGTGAAGAATGTATTGTTCTTACTTTCACTGGTTGGGGAATGACTCCTACTCTTGCTTAGCCTGTGGTTTTTCCTCAGCCTAGTCTTGGCAGTGTCAAATTCCTGGCTCTTGCTAAGTCCTGGCGTTAGTTTCCTCTTGCTAACATCTCGAAGCATTTGTTGATCTTCAACTGTTAGCGGGGAAGTAGAGTAGGCTTCCTGCGAAATTAATTGCTCCCTCTTCTGACTAGGAGAATGAATTGGGGGTTTCATGGGAGACTTTATTCCTCCATTGCTAATTGCTGCTTGGCTGACTAGAAGATGAAGCCAGACAACAAGTTCAAGCATATAAGCTTCAGTTTTCGCCTTATTAGCGTGATGTAGTGTTTCAATTCGCAACAAGTAAGTCTGGCCTCCAGGTCTGAGGTTTGATTCTCACATATATAAAGTTTATTAGAAATCATAAGTACATAATGAATATAGCAGAAGATGAAGGACTTCAATCTATAGTTCTAAACTCACCCAGTATTTGCCCATTCTCCAACCCATCCAAAGCCATGATGAGCCCTGAAATAATCCAATATAAAGATAATTGAAAGATAGAACAGAGAATATAGCAGCCAGTGACATATGTCTAAAGCAGATCAAGCTTGCATCTAAGTATTAGAGTGTCCGCAAACACAGCAGTCTAATTCTGAATTTCTGTATTCATGGAATAATGAACTTAACTATTTACCAGCATAACAGGGAAGGAATTTTAAGTCTAGACAAACATACAAGTACAGTATCAAATGCAATGTTAGACAATCTAATAAATGCTGGTGAAGGGCTGGCAAGCTTACTTCGTTGTGTTGGTTGCAATAGGAACAAGCCATTGCAGGGTCTTTTCCATCTCAGCTTTAATTTGAGGAACTGTAAGCTGCAATAATGCTCCAATTATTTTAGATACGGATTTAAGATGTTGGCTAGCCAATAAATAGACTACAATGGATCCTAAGTTCAGTGTTACTGCTGGAGAAACTAATTCTAATAAACGAATTGAAATGTTTGCATGAATTTATAATAAGATATCTCATGATGGATCGTATGAATTCAAAAGATTATGATAAAAGGAAAGTCGATTATTTTGAAGAATTCATGACATGAAATTTCCAATGTGAATGTTAAAAATAAGTAATGTTTTGATACACTCCTTAATACATGATAATTCTTTTATGCATCTTGTTCAAGTAAAGTCAAAGTAGATAAATATATCAATTCTATTAGAGGTGCAGATGTAAGGGATCACTTAGTGATTACATTGGTTTCAAATAAAATGTTTGTGCGAATTTAATAGGGGCGTTGTGCGTGTGCCCAGCCGGATACATAATCTCTACTGATAAGAAATGGAACCTTCACAAAATGTATGTTAGATTTGATCTTTCGTTTTAAATATATAAAGGCAGCTATTAACTATTCTTGTATTTATAGCAAATATAACCGATTTTAACATACAGAATAAAAGAAAGTATGAAAGACAAGGGATATGCACCTCTTCTTTAGCCTGAAATGACTTTAACCTTGGGCGCAGTGCTGACTTTACATGAGGAGGCAGCCCTTGATACAAGGCATCCCTTAAATTAGGAGGCACAGAACTTGAACGAGAAGCCTGATCAATTCAAATGTCATCTCATGACTATCTTTAGAAAAGTTTCGCAATCATACTCTTAGGTGCAGCCCCACGTAAATCGGGACCATTTGCGCGCAAATAGCATCACATGTTCAATATGTGTGTGTGTGCGCGCGCCAACCAAAGAGAGATACATATTGCAATACCACTGTTGAGCATGCGTAGCATATTGTATGAGGGATCGAGGTTTAAACGAAAACTACTGAAGACTGATTGTATTGGATCAACTTCCGAAACTAATTGTTAACTCAAACAAACAAACAATCAGGAACTATAATCTCAAAGACATATTTTCTTTGATAAGAGAGAATTGTGACCAAGTCCTAAAGCTCACTTCTCTAATCTCACACTTGCATATGGATCTTTTAAAGGGAGCAGAACTCAGCAGTCAGCACTGAGGAATTGTCAGCTTACGCGAGAATCCCTCTCTTTCTTGCAAGATCTTGAAAAAGTTATATGGCACGCCATTGGTTGCAGAATGCAGATGGGGTTTAATCTTATGAAGGCTTCACTCTGACACTAGGAATTTAATTTAAAGCAAGGATTTTAACTTGAGCACTTATAATTTTCTCAAGAATTTTATCATTCGTTAGGAAGCAAGTATTACCACTCTAGTTCATTGCATGTTTGGTTGCTACTCTATTATCCAGAGAAATTGTAAGGATTTGGCTTTAAGAAGAGCCCCAAAAAAACGGAGAAAGAGAGAACTTGCAAGGCAAAAACACTATTTGGAACTCACAAGAATATCAATTTGAGAAATAATATTTGCATAATGCAATGAAAGACCAGCAGATCCCAACTTCTTGTGGTTGTCTTGAGAATCTTTCAGCTGCCCTTCAGTATCTGCAAAGTTAAACGGGGAAACAAATTTAAAGATATGTTCCGCTGAACATGGAATCTTATAGGGAAATAGAAGGCCTGAGGTTTATACAATAGCTCTAGGCTATAGGAAATTCAAGAGAATTTTTATTCAGAAAATGATTCAACACTCTCCTATACTCTCTGGCCAAGTAGCATTGTCAAAGGCAAAGCTAGTGTTCCTCCATTGCAGTGAGTAATCAGAATTTGCCCTCTCTCAACAACTTCCGCTGTCAAAGTTTTCTCCAGCTCTATAGAAAGCTCTATAGAAACAGTGCTGATATCATCCTTATATTGCTTTAACGTTGACACATGAAAGGGCAAATTCTAATATTATAGTATTCTGTTGGAGCTCAAAATTGCGAGCCACTCTTGCAAATCTCTTAATTTTCTTACGAAGGATCATAAAACCTTTCTTCCAGACTTCGGAAATGCTTAAAGACCTCCCAAGACTCCAGCAAATAGGCAATTCAAGAATAACAAATTGAGTGACAACAAACTCATCTCTTACTAATATTATCATTACTTGTAACGTGCGTCTTGCAAGGAATGAGAATTGACGAATTGTGTTGTGCATTAAAGTTAAAAAAGTTGGTCTTTATGACAAGGTTGGAGAGAGAGAAAATTCTGCAAACAAAAATCTATGATAATTTCGATAAATTTGACCAGATGCCAATCTAGTTTGCAGCATTGAAGCTCAAACAATATCACGGTAACACCAAAAATTTGAAACTTGTTGATGTTTGCTTTTACTAATAAACCAAAGGGTCCCAGCAGCCATTTAGTTGAACTTTATGTCCAGAATGTTCTTCACGACAGCAAAAACTTTCCTACCTCAATGAATAATATAATTTTTCTAAGAATGCACGCCAGGTGCTAAAGAGCTTATGATAAATAAAAGCCAGGGTGGCAACTAGATGTTTCTTCTGTCCCTCATTCATGGAACTGAAGAAAACGGAGAAACGGGCACACACATATCCCTGTAAGATTTGACGATTTTTTTTTATTGGTTTTCAAGGGGCTAACACAACTCTCCTTCCTTCTCCAAGCTTGGAATCGGCTATAAAATATAGGCAGAGAAATAGGCACACACATAGGCATAATTAATATTTTGCAAATCTTGAAAGCATACCAGCAATACCAAATGCTTCATGTATCCTCAAACGTAGAAAATGAACTATGTCGACAAGATTCTCCATCACCTGTACGTACAACAATCAGAGTATATGCTTCATATCATGTAAAACATGCAAAAGATTTTGTAGCTGGAAAGTATATAATATTAATGATACCAAAGAAATCCATGCCATTAAGATTTGATGGCTTTTACATTGACTGTTTGAGGGCCTAGTACAACCCTCCTCCTTTATTTAGGCTTGGGACCAACTATAAAACACATTAATGACACTAAAGAAAAACAGAGGAATAATAATTCCAAGAGCTCAGGGAGGACATCAATTATGTTGAGGAGCTAGCTTGTAGTGAAACAAGCTGATGTACCTCTGGTGGAAAAGAATAGAGAAAAAGGGAAGACAGGAGGAAGACATAGAAGAAAAGGTTGAAAACGGGAAGGGGGAAAAGTAGACGGAGAAGGAGATGGGGGCGGGGGCGCCAGTCTGAAACTTCATTGATGATCCATCCAAGTGCTAACCCTATTGCAACTGCTAGGGGCTTTATGAAGAGTCAAAGAGATAAGGAGATAAACTAGGCCAAAACAAAACAAAAGGATAACTGAATACATAGAAAACCACAGGATAGTTAAAGATTTATTTGAATGAAAAATAGTAATTAGAATATTATTTCCTTGGGGTAAATTGGGTCTCCCACAATTTACCCTCACTAACACTCAAAAGATTGATCCATAAATAGCCCCAAAAAAAAATATCTTCTTACCTCTTCCAAAATCTTGGACCATAGTGATTTCTTCTTCAAATTTCTGACATGCTTCTTTTGACTCTGCAGTTCTGCACTTAAAATTGCAAGGCTCTTTCCTACACAGCCTAAAAACAAGAGTACTTGTAGGAGGTAGAAAAGTGATGTTGGACCAATAGCAAGAATAATGAAAAGAAGAGAGAAGGAGGAGGGAGATTTAGAAGAACAGAAAGTGATAGACGTATGACAAGGCATGTTAATTTTATTCATAATCAATAAAAAAAGGCTTGGCCAATTTATAATGACATAATGGAATAAACACCTTATGAGGAAACCTGGGCATGTATTTACCTTTTTGTGCGGCACTAGAATTGTCCTCTTCTTGAAGCTTGTGCTGATAATGATCAAACCTGTCTAAGGCATGCAATTCGTGATACAATTCCTGCATCTCAAGAAAAGGTTTGAATTCTTTAAATCAGAGAAACAAAATTCTCAGTGTAAAGATGGAATAGGAATCCTCAAGCTATTTTATGCGTGGTAAATAATATTTTATAGGATTAGGATAGAACTAAAATTTTTTGTTCTTTAGTTTTATTTTAAATAGTATTGACTAAATGATCTTCATTAGAATCAGATTTTTTCTCTTTTCCTTTAAAATTATTCGGAATTATCTTCAGCCTAGTTGTAATAGGGTTAGCTTAGCCTATGTTTTAATAATTTAGTTTTCAAATTCTCTGCATGTTTCCTTCTCTTGCTTTATTTCTTCTTCTGCCTCCCCCTCCTTCCTGAGTGGAATTTACTCAACTTATTGCTCGCCTAGAGAATATGAAAATATAGAGGTGCCCCGGTATTCAAAATATGCAGATTTTGAGACTTATGCAGAAGCTTTCTGGTAAAATCAGAAACTAAATTGAATGAGAAAAACAGAAAATTTCTAACTAATCACCAAAGGGGGAAAAAAACTCCCAATTTTGCACAATGATAAAAAGTAATTGCTTGCCCTACCATATGCACCATATATAAAATTCAAATAAAAAATATTTAGAATTATGAGATCACACCCAAATTTAAGACAGACAGGCACATGGACTGCCCTTGATGATCAGTATACTCACAGCTGTATGCTGAACCAACGTCATAAGTTGTTGCATCACTATCTCAGCATCCTCTTTTGATAGTCTCTGTGGTGCAAGCTCTGAACGTAACCTATACATCCATAGAGTTGGAGCATATCATGACTCTGAAGTTCATATTCGATGTCACCAGAAAAAGTTCCAAGATTAGACAATATTGATTCAACACAATTACTTCTCAAAATAGCGATCCAGGTTGTGCCACTGGCGATCTTTACAATGATTTCCAAAACGCACCACTTCATCGGAAAATATTTTCAACTCTTCTCTGCCACAACAGCACAAGATAGCAGCATGTGGTAACACTAATTAGGTCCATGAGATGTTTCAAGATATAAGACCCCAGTCATGGGCAGAATGCTGGCAAGAGCAAGACAACGAAACTTCATGAAAATATTGATGATAATCACCTCTTGTCTTCTGCGGCAATTCTCAGCAGTTCATTCTTATCCCTGGATATTAAATTTTGTACTGCGACAGATGGTAGTACGACATCTTTTAAATGCGCAATGCTCTCTTTTGAAAGAGATTGCATCAGGTTGGCCCCCCTGACAATTGTGTTTGCAACTTCAAAGGCCAAAATTGAAATTTTATTTTTTTTCGTTTTCACTCCCGATGTAAAACCATTGTTCAGGTTTAAATTTGTCACACTACTACCTAGTGTGTCTAAAACATCTACTGCCTTGCCAAGCCCAGCAGTACTAGCTCTGCCCAAAAGTGAACTCACTTCTGAGACCTGTAAAACAAAAAATAAAAGGTAGACAAAGACAATGAAGTTGAGCTGCTAAAAGCACAACAGATAAAAACTATAATACAAAATTATAGGACATTAGAATGATGGGTAAAAGGGAATTAGAGGAGGTGAACTGAATCAACGGTCATAACTGTCCAACGTCAATTGCGAAGGCTGTTATATCTGTTACTGATAGATTCTTAACTACCCTTGGCTAATTCCCGCCTTCCTAAAATGGTATTAACCCACAAGGCTTTCGGGGATATCAAACTGTCTCATAAAAATTGGGACGTTAAATATTTCTGTCAAATATATCTAGCATTGCATTATCATTCTGTCCATGTACACTGAACATCAAGAGAAATTGCACATCGCCACAAAGTCATGACTGACTATCCTTACTCCTCCTTCGAGGCAGCGGAGCATACCCAGTGCTTGCATAAAGGCAAAGAGCTTATTCCAAAGCTTCCAAGCCACATAACAGCATAAAAACAAATAAATGCTGGCCTCCAAAGATCAAAGCACATCGCATAATCGTCTAGATGTAAAGTCTTTTCTGGCCATGCACTAAGACTGCTACCTTAGAGTGAGCCTTCACCTTCGAAATCAGCTATAGAAATCCAATTTTTGACTGAAGGTATTATAAATCAAATAAAATGATAGAGGATCTAAAGGCGACTTACCAGAAGAATCCAAATACCAGAGTGTCCAAGTCGAACAATCCAAAAACGGGCACTTTATTAAGGAATAACAAGTTGACTTCGTAAATAATGGTTAGTTACCAGTTAATCTCATATTCAAAATTTGGCCATATAACGGTCGTGTCTATTAAGCAGGTCTTTTCCATATGAACTGACAAATTGGTTTCATGTTTTTATTTACCTTAGTGACAGCAGCAACCTGCCTGGACTTGGTTGATTTAGACTTGTGTGACGAGACTCTAGAGAGATGAGGAATTCCAGCATTGATGTCTTCTGCACTTGGTCCCTCCAAAATTTTCTGCCCAGGATACGAAAATGATTGCCGGACCTGCTTCTCTATGTCATCATCAACGGGAGGCAGAGTTGAATGGCTATTTAATTTTCCCGGAACTCCATGACAATGATCGGCCATTTCAGACTCACTATTGGAATGACCATCGGCATGTCTCGAGCTTTCACTCGGAGCGTCATCTAATGCAACACAGTCTATCGTGAACTTCCTCGACGTTGTGCAAAAACCACCCATATTATTTATGTAGTACTCTCTACGCAATGTCCATGAACTACTCCGACATGTAAACTTTACTTTCTTTTAAGTCGGAAGTTTAGAAGACGAGCGATTTCGAGTGTCCCGATCCTGATCAACTTTGCAGCTCCGGTCCATCTACTCTGTTAAAGGTCCAAAATTCTAGATTTTAAAAAACAGAAGTCCCCACATATTATGTGATCAAACACGACAAGCATGAGAAAGGGAAGAAACAAGCCAAACCACGTTCAAAATAATGATAAAAGCATCGGTGAAGTAGAGAAATAAAAATTCCCAAGAGCTTATTTCACTAACAAATAAAGAACCACGTCAGTTCCTTTTAGCTACAAACCGAGAAAAAGGGAAGAGGGGGGGGGGGAAAGGAACCAAGCGAACACTAAGAACCACATATAATAAGTAAAGAGGAGCACATCGACTTTATCAGATAAACAGTTACCGGAAGCGTGGAGCGTGCGCCATTCTTACAGCTCCAAGAGAGAAGCAGCAACTGATGACAGGGTATAGGAATGAGTGATAGTGGCTGGGTCAAGGGACCGACAAGAAGTAATTGCAGTGAAGGAGCATAATAGAAAGACAGAAATCCACGCGAAAGCACAGTGAAGAAAGATTGAAGAAGAAGGTGCACTGGAGTCAGCAGTGCTAGGAAGACTCGTGGTCAAAAGTCAAGGGCCGCCTTTTAGCAACGCGCTTGTTTGTTTGATCATCCTAAAAATTGAATTTCGCTTTTTTTTTTTCCATTTTTGTACAAGCAAGTAATAGCCTCGCTGGTCAACAAAAAACAAGTAATAGCCTCCAGTAGTTAATTTCGTTATTTCCGCGTTCCCGCACGACTTGGAAAACGCCCGCACGATAGTCGCAAAAATCTTCATGCAAAACCTCTTCGCTCGGTTAGGCGCATTCAATAATGTTGGACCCACACAGAGGCATCCTAGAGCCCAAATTGTCTCAGTAGCTAAAAGCCTAAACCAAAGCCCAATGAAGCCAGCCTGGTAAAAGAAAGCCCAATATCGGCGGGAATGTTACGTCACCCCTTCATATTATTTTACCTCACATTTAATGTCCTACACACTAACAAGAGTTAGTTCAGTCAGTAAAAATTCGGCTTATAACTTACAAGACTGTGAGTTTGAATCCCGCTACTAATGTGACGACTTTGTTAGTGGGTAATGTATAAGTATTTCTGTAAGCGCTAACTCGCATAAACCTTTTCTTTAAAAAAAAAAATGATCAAGGATTAGGGGGTACACGTACGTCCTCCGTCTCCCTTCTTTCTCCGGCCAGCTCATGGGGCCAACAAATCCACTTTCGCTGACTGCTCGTTTCGTGTGTCCTGGGACTTCTTGCCTAATCCTCTTAAAATTTATATAAAAAATGAAAAAGTTATTTTCCCCTTAAAATTTTTCCCCATCTAGTTCCCCCTCCCACACGCATATAATGTTAATTTACAAATATTTACCGTAACACATGAAATGAGAATATTACGACAACGCACCTCTGGTGGAGACATGCGTGAAAGCCGGCAACTGCAGCTTTAAGTTATTCTTCCATATTATTTCTTGTTATGGAATAACAATTAGTATAAGTTTTTGGGGCACAGGTTGTTATATTTCCTTTCGTATTCTTGTATTCTTTTCACTCCGGAAAATATCAGAATAAAACGTTATTTTTACTTCCTTTTCACGTGTCATGTAATAAGAGTTAATTGGGTAAATCTCACCCATTTATGTATATAAAACTTGAAAGCATGCACTGCTATGGATTTTACAAAAAATGCAGAGAGCAAAGTACATATAGAACTGTGTGTGGCAATTTTTGGTTCCATTAAAAGGTGCTTAGCTTATAATTGGACAATTTTTGGGACCTCGTGGTTTTCTTCTGACCTTTTTCCTGTGATTTCCAGTACTGCTTGCGTTGTTTGAGACTGTGTTTATTGGGATATTTTGGCAGTGCGACCTCGGAACATTCTATATTTCTAAATCTATCTATGCAGAGTATTATATTCAGACTATGTTTTAGCATTGTCTGTGTTTACTGTCCATCTGTTTGTGAGATCAGAACACAAACTTCCGTGGCAGTTCATTAGTAACCTGCCACAAAAGTTCTGCTCTTGGTGCGGAGTTGAAAGTCTGATGACTCTTTTTAGACATTTGAGGTGTTTAATAGCTCACAGATGTGCGGATTCTTCTCATTCACAAACTCTTCTCTTTCTCTCTCACACGCACAAAGATATGAAAAACATGATAAATGATGGTAGAAAAGAATCAAGACGCCGGAAGAAACATTATCTTGAGCTGTTGTTTTTCAGGGCAAATATATTTCTTAAGCTGTGTGTAAAAAATTGATCATAAATTTAATTGGCTTGAAGAAACTGAAGACCACCCGTTACGTTTATGCGCAGCCTCTTTGTCTGCTGCCTGGTGAAGCACTGTGTTGCCAGGCCGGGTTGCTTGGCTCAAAATTTCGAAGGAAAACCTCCACTTCATCTTTGTTATTTTGCTCTGCGTTTCTTCGTTTCCTCATCTTCTTTCAGTTTATTCAATCTGCAAGACGTTCCACTTCTCGGCAGAGAAAGAAACCAGTAGCTCTGCACTTCTGCTTGTTCAAGCAATGTCAGCTCCCTGGAGAGAACGGATATGTCATATGAAAAATAATATAAATGGGACTCGAATCAAGCGGCCCAAATTATTAATTTGCACAAAAAAAAAAGAGAGTAAATATGCAGTTTTTGAACAACCGTAAAAGAGATATTGGACAGTTAAATCAACGTGGATGCTCCCATAACCTTTTTTTTTTTTTTACCAGAAGATTATTGAGTGTTTAATGTGATGTGAATCAAATTTATACTTCCAAACTTCAACCTTGACCGCTCGACATCTTCAAAATTTACCTTTTAATAGTAATTGTTTATTTTTTCAAAGTAAAGATTAAAACAGATTTTGAATTTGAGATAGCCAAAAACAAAAGGAAAAATAATTTTTGTAACACGGGATCCTAAAAAATATTTGTTTTTTATCATTGAGTTCTCTTTTTCAAGGGGACAAAAAAGGTATGGACTTCTCTTTCATGTCACTGTTTAACACTCCCTAATTAACATTCTCCGTGTATTTGACCTTTTATCGGCAGTATTTTTCCACTTCAATCATAATCAATATCATATTATCACTTCCATTTTTTTGGTAAACACGAATCCGGATATTCATTATTGGAGAACGCAAGGTCCACGCAAATTCCCACTTCGGTTCCTCGTTTCTCTTCCCCTTCCGAGCTCATCAAATCGCGCAGCGTGACTTGACCTTCTCTTTTTGCTCTGAGTCTGAGATTCTTCTTCGGGCTCAGTGCGCCGCTCACAAGCTAAATAGAGTATCCCGGTTTGTATATCTTTCTTTCTTTGCTATGCTTTGTTTTTTTGGAATTTTACTCTTTTCGATTTTTCTGTTTAATTCTTTTTCGTCCGTGCATGTAGAAATATGCCTGAGTCAATGGAAACCCATCTGCAAATTTCTTTTTAATCGAACGAATTTAGCTTAGATCCGTAATGAATGACGATTCTATAATCCTGGGTTTGTCGATTTTGTGTTTCTTTCCGAAGTATTTGGATTTTGAGACCTGAATTTTGTTAGAACTTTTTTTTTTCCTTTGGGAATTCAGTTCCCGGGGATTCGAATTGAACTGTCCCCCAGTTTTTAGTTTAGGTATTAAGATGGAAGCAAATGTGATGCTAATGTAGACTTAAGAGCTGATGTAGTTTTGCGTATTTTCCATTTTGTTTGAGAAGCGAAAGGCAGTTGTCAGCGTTTTGTTTTGGATGGATTCCAAACCGCTGGAGTTTAATTTGATATGGCTTTAAATTGACCATTTGCTTGCTACTGAACCTGGTTGGAAACTTTTAGATTTTGTTATTCTTCCGTTAATTTTCATCCATATTCCTCATTCTTTCTCTGTTAGAAGGTCCTATGTTTTGAATACAATGTCAACCTGATATCTTCAAGACAAAACAACAGTTATGTTATATGATGTCAATAAAGATCGTCCTCTTATCCAGATTAGATGATCCTCTGTTAGCTATCCACTTGCCATGGTCCAAACCCATATAAACCAGTCTGCAAACTGTTGTGCAGATTGGGTTCAAAACTGAACTGACCTGTGCACGCCCTTAAACTTCTCTGGTTGGGAGAAATTGATAGGGCAGATTAACGACTTATGTTTTAGTTTGACAAGTCTGCCTTTCGTTGTTTCACTGTCTCTAAATATTCTTCTAGGAAGACCAAGCCCGAGGGCCCAACTTTGTTACGCTTTTTGACTTAACATAATCAAATACGCCATTATATGAGGGCAAATATTGATGATAATATTAGGCATTTTATTCAGTGCTTCCTTTTTCAGTAGCAAGTTGTTATGATCTGTGCTTTTGTCTAGGGCAAGGGAATCGCTTATCTTGCTCATCAGGCCTGAAACAAATAGGGTCTCATTACTGATCTACTGAAAAAGAACAGGGGGAAACATACGGGGAGGACTTTTTTCACTTCAAAATAAGCTCAGAAGTTGCATTGTTTTTTATTGTTGCAAGTTACAAAATGTCTTTTTAGAAACTAGAAGCGTGTGGTTTTGATGTGATGCTAATAAAAAAACCTGGTAAGGTTGAGATCCTCTCCTTCCAGTATTTCATGCACGGCTGTGTTGCTGTGGGTACGAAGAATGGAATGAGATTAATAAAAAAGTGGAATTTAAAATGACATTCGTACCCCTGGATGAAAAAGTAATAATAAAGATGAATAATGATTACAAAAGTATTATAGATTGCGTATTTGCAGAATTATAAATTGCTTTTCAAGAGGGATCCCAAATGAGACATGGATCAGCTTATTTGCATTGTCCTTGTGTACCTTTTTCCCCATAAAAGAAGAGATGATAAAAGAGTGGAGGATATTACATTATATGATGCCAATGAGAATGGAGGATATTACATTATATGATGCCAATGAAGGACAAAGTGCATAACATGATTTGTCAGGGTTTGATTATTATGGTTTCTTGTAATGAAGGGTATATAACTAAGGATGCCAATACTCAATGCACATGAAAGGAGTTTTGGGTATTCACTGCTATGAGCGTTGAGTTACATATTGCTCAGGGTTGGCTGCTTCAGTTATTCTTCATACTTATTTATCTGATAATAAACCCTAGACAATCAGCTGAAGCTATGAGAATAGTGTTGGATTTTGGTATAGAAGTATGCCTTATATATACAGCTAGATGTTGTGTCCATGTTTTATATTGAGTTTAAAGTGAGTCACATTATTCATAGAATGATATGGCTTCCTATGGATTTTACATATGTTGATATTTATTATTCTCCTTTGATTTCTGATATTTATAGTTCAGAAATTTCACTGCTTTAAATTTCTGATATTTATTTCGACCAATTGAATCGCTTAAATTCATAATTGATCTTATAATTGATTGTGTGAGGGATCTATAATTGATTTTTGCATTCATATACTTTTTCTCTATGCTTTACCAAATGCACTATAAGCATTCATTTTTATCAATGTTGAGGACTGGGATTACTATTTTGATTTCATTGTTCTTCTATGAACATGCAGTAATATATTTAACACGAATTGCAGCCGGAGAGTGTGAGAGCCGAAGATGAGTCTGGCATGCCTTGTGTGCCAGAGTGTGGAAAGTCCATCACCATCACACTCTTTCAGGAGTTACTCCGTCTCAAGTGCAGAAAATGAAGGAAGATGTTATGCTATTTCCAACTGCTTAACCAGGAAATCATCTTTTCCATCTCATACAATGAACACATTTATTGCATCATCATCATCATCTAAAGTTGCCCCGCATCCTGGTGTTTTAAGTAATGAAGAGATGCCGGGCACTCCCCGGCTTGTACGAAGTCGTGCAGTGAGGAGGGACCTTGTCAGGGACTGGAATTTCGATCAAGTTTTATTAGAAGGCTAGACTGTTAATATTGGATAGAAGAAACCTTAAAGGACTCTTCTTGTGGGATAGAGTAAGTAGAGCATGATATTTGCTACCTTGCCTCTGATTATGTTATGTTGCAGTTGAACTCTCTTGGATTTCCTGCACTTGTAACTTTCAAGAAATTAATGCAACATTTTGTTCCTGTTTGTTCATCTGGCACTTTTTGTAGTTCACAATTTTATTTCGAGGTTTAAATTTCTTTTCTGCAAAGTTAATAAGTTATATTACTTCATTTTATTTTCTTCCCTTTTTGTAAAGCATGTTTGATATGTTATTCTTTTTTAAAGAAATATATTAAACGAGGATAATTCGATTTCAAGGATTAAATAACCTTAACTCTGTGTTCAATGAATAAAAACTCTCCTCAATTATTTTCTTCAATAGAATTAATAAGAAATATGGGGGATTTTAGACTTTTATGCTTTTTCTGTTTGAGCTGAATCAAAGACTTTTCTGCCTACAACAATTTACCAATAGAAAGTCGACTCGTTGGCCAATGACCACAAAAGTTTGCAATTCAAACTTCTTTAAATTATTAGATTTTTTTAATGACAACTGAAGTTATACATTATTATATTTTTGTTATAATTCAGAGTATTATTAAGTCATTTTGGATATGAGATAATTTTTATCTGACCGAGAGTGTTAAGGTTAAAACTGTCTCAATAAGCATGTTTCTCAAAATTTGAACTTGTATTTCCTTTTTACAAGGTGAGATTACTTATCATCCTAATCAACAGTTTTTTGATACTTGTACATTATTATTAATTAAGAATCAATGAGATTCCAGGAGGAAAAAACTAAAAAGAGACTAAACACAAAAAAAAACCCATTTTCCCTAAACCAATTATGAAGAAATTTGATGGTTATCTTAAATATAACAACCTAACTTCACTTTGTTTTTTATATTTATCTATTTTTTAATGTATTTTTTGTAATAGTTGTACATGTTAAATATTTCATCACATAAAATTTCTAACTAATACACATTATTAATAAGGATATTTTAAAAAAGACAATATTTATATAAATAACTAACTTAACTAATTTTTTAAATTACTCAAATTAGTTAATTAGTTCTTATACTACCTTCGGTTTTTAATATAAGATCTTATTTTAGTCCTAAATATAAACCTAATCCACTTTGTCTCTCATATTTATATATTTTTTCCTAATGTAGTCCTTCTAATAATGGTAATTCTAGCCAATATACTTGATTAGTAAGGATATTTTAGGAAAGACAACACCTATTTATTACAAATAACTAAATTAACTTCTTTCTTTAATCTCCTCAAATTAGTCAACTAGCTTTTATAATTAGGACGGAGGTAATATTAAGTAAAGAAGAAGTATCATTTATCTTCCTTAAATTGCAAAGAACTTTTTAGTTCTACCGTAAGATTTCAAGTATTTTTATAATCTTCAAAAGTTCAAATATTAGAAAGTTATAAACCAATGTTCAAGTGACGAGCATTTTTGGAGTTATAATTACTAAATTTTATATTTCCTAAAGTAAATTTTTTTTCCTCGTACTACAGTTTTTGGCCTTTACTCGAATTAATATGAAGTGAACTCTTCTGTCAATAAGAAAATATAATAAAAAGAAAATAACCCATCCAAACAGATCCTAAGCGTTTGTCGTGAAGGGAAAAGTGGCCAAAGGCACGGAAGGCCGTATCGGGTTCACGCTGCCAGTGTTATCGTGTTCCGAGAGCTGAGCGCCCAAGTAAACTTGCCTGTAGATTAAATTTCGGAAACTGCAGTTTCTTGATTTGAACTTTGAAACTACTGTTAGAGGTAGGATTGGGGAAGGAAAAAGCGATGCCTCCAAAGAACAGCGCCACCACCTCCTCCTCCTCTATTTCTACGCTCTTCCTAGTATTCGTCGTCCTTTGCATTCTTTCACTGACCCTCTTCATCTTCAGCACATCAAACCATTCCGATTCCTCTGTTTCTTCACTTTCTTGCATGAACGCGCTTCAATCTACAGCTGGTTTCATCAACGTCTATGTTGCAGACCTTCCCAGATCCCTGAATTATGGCCTTCTTGACAAATATTGGGTCTTCGATGCAGATTCTAGGCTCGGCAGCGACGCAGACCGTGAGATTCGGTCAAACAATTTGGCACAAGGCCAAAAATTTCCACCATATCCAGAGAATCCATTGATAAAGCAGTACAGTGCGGAGTACTGGATCACAGGGGATTTGATGACTCCCCAAGAACAACGAACTCGGTCGTTTGCAAGACGGGTCTTTGATGTCAAAGAGGCTGATGTGATTTTTGTGCCGTTCTTCGCGACGCTGAGTGCAGAAATGCAACTGGGTATGGCGAAAGGGCAGTTCAGGAAGAAAGTTGAAAATGAGGATTACCAGAGGCAGAAGGAGGTGATTGAGTTTCTTAAGAATACAGAAGCTTGGAACCGGTCTGGTGGGCGAGATCACGTCTTTGTTCTCACTGGTGTGCTCCACTTTACATTTCTTTTAGCTTAGTTTCCATAGATGCAGTGCTTATATTTTGGCTACTTGTTTCCATAATAATGATGGTAATGGGAACAATTCTGTAATTTTACGCATATAAGTAGACCTAATTACTTTCTTATCGTTGAATATTATCTCTCTAATAATCTCATCACCAAATAATTTTCCTTTACCATCTACAATCTTTTGCTTATGATCAATAGAGGAGCAATTTGAGATAATGTTGGATCGCTTAAATTTTGCGGTACCACACTTTGCTAATAAATGCTCATCGCTGATCGGTGCTGGAATTCTGACTCTCACTTGGCTTGGGAATTTATAAAGTTTTTTTTTTTTTTGGTTACCCTCAAATTTTATTTGGATGCCCTATGAAAATATTTGGATAATCGAATCAACAGTAGCTAGACGTTTTGCCTCTGGCACTGCGCACTTGGCAGGCATACTTTAATTGCTAAGAATATCATGATGAGCTGTTAGGCATGTATAAAACTTCAAAGATCTCCCACATAAAAGGGCTTGTGAGATCCGAAAATGCTTAGGGATCTCTCACTGTCTTATCCTTGTTCTGCTTCCTTTTGTGCATGAAACTTCCGATGAAATAGGAATGGCTAATTAGATTACACGGGTTCTAATTAAACATTTTCTTGACCCACTGAGTTCTTAAACGCTCGATTGTGGGCTCATGTCTAACGTGCTCTGTTCTTGGTTTACAATAGTGTCGTTTCCTATTGATCACACACACACAGGGGGGGGGGGATGTGGGACTTGGTTTTTTTACTCTTGTTTTTGTTTTGAGATGCTATAAGTTTATATGTTGGTCACCATCATATTATGTACTGTCAGTGTGATTATTGTGCTTATGTTAAACTTTTAAGAATTTTTTCTCAACCTCTTATACCTAAGAGATTTTGTATGCATCCATAGTTATTCTTGTTTGCAAGGCCTAAATTATCCCAATCTCATCTTTTTCGTGAATGTATGCATGTTATAAAAATTGGATGCGTTGACACTTTACCTCCCAGTTGTTCAGATTTGCATAGATGGCCATGATTGGGAACAATCAGGCAGTCAGAGATATAGAAAGACGAAAAATAAGAGAAGCAAATTTCACTGCATGCTGTTGCCATCTTATAATTTAGTCTTTGAATTGTCAGGTTTTGTTTAAAACTGAAGCATTCTTTGGCAGACCCAGTTGCTATGTGGCATGTCAAAGATGAGATTGCCCCGGCTGTTCTTCTTGTGGTAGATTTTGGTGGTTGGTACAGGCTTGACTCCAAATCATCAAACTGTAGCTTACCAGATGCTGTTCCACACACCCAAGTTTCATTAATTAAAGACGTGATTGTTCCATACACCCATCTCCTTCCCAGGTTGCATTTGTCTGAAAACCAGGAGCGCCACAATCTTCTGTATTTCAAAGGGGCTAAACATAGGCACCGGGTAGGTGTTGCATTTCTAGTCACTCTTAAGCTTTTGTGGATCACATTTTTCAACTTTCAGTTAAGCATCTTCCAAGATATACAGCTGAATTCTGTCACTGTTGCCTCTTCCTTTTTAAGGGATTAGGTAGTTTTCTGATTTTGGAATTTCAATGCCATTCGTGTTCCATGCCTAGTCCTTGACCAATTATTCTACTTGCAGGGAGGCCTAGTTAGAGAGAAGCTATGGGATCTCTTGGTTAGTGAGCCAGGTGTTATAATGGAGGAAGGATTTCCTAATGCCACTGGGAAAGAGCAGTCAATAAGAGGGATGAGGACATCGGAGTTTTGCCTACACCCTGCTGGAGACACACCTACATCATGCCGGCTATTTGACGCCATACAAAGTCTTTGTATACCTGTTATTGTCAGTGATAATATTGAGCTCCCATTTGAAGGGATGGTGAATTATTCAGAATTCTCTGTTTTTGTAGCAGTCAATGATGCACTGAGACCAAGCTGGCTTGTAGATCATCTAAAAATTTTTTCTCGAGAGCAGAAAGAAAGTTTCCGTCGAAATATGGCTCGAGTACAACCCATCTTTGACTATGATAATGGTCATCCAGATGGTATTGGACCAGTGCCCCTGGATGGTGCTGTGAACCACATATGGAGGAAAGTTCACCAAAAGTTACCCATGATTCGAGAAGCCATTGTTCGTGAGAGAAGAAAACCACCTGATGTTTCAGTTCTCCGCCGTTGCCATTGTAGTTGAATTCAGTTGGTCGTCTATCCAAATCCTCAACATTTTAAAAAGTGAATGCATATAGTGCATCAAGAGAAAAATAGAGAAAAAATTACGGATGTGGAGATAAGACTTGGATCTTACCTTAGTTGCATTTTTTGTTATATAGTCTCCCAACATATGAACATATGAACGCTGATGATCAGATTTGATTATGTCTCTCTACTTTGACCGGTTTCTGGTCCTGCAGAGTTGTTGGGAAGATCATGAGACGCTTGTATGAATGGTATAGCAGAGACTTCTTAGCCAAATTATGCTAATATTTCAGAGAATTTTTAAATTTTTATTTTTATTTTTATTTTTTTAGAACATTTAGATCATGTGAGCTCGCTAGAGGACGCTGGAGGCAGAGCATGTCTCACCGCTCAAGTTGCACTTACAAATTATCTATGACTATTAGTGAAGTCCTCATTTGGACAACATAATTTGAAGCTGTGTTTTTGTGCAATACAGGTGAACTTTTTAAATGAATAAGTGTAATAGTTTGATAGATTTCTATTGAGATTTTAAATTTTAATAATAACTTGTTGCCAAAATAGTATTAAAAAGATTTATTCTGAATAGAATGAATAGCATACAAGTTTTTTTCTTTAGAAAAAAAGTATATTCTCAAGATAAGAAAAAAAGACAATAGATTTGAAGGTTTTTATTTTTATTAATTAACATTTCAATATTTGAATTTAAAACATTAAAATTAGTTAAAGTGTATTTTTAATCTTTTAACTTTGTATAAGGTATTAATTTGGTCTTTTAACTTAAAAAAATATATTTTAAATTATTTAATATTAAAATTGTTAATCTTAAATGATAATTTTTATAATAATTATAATTGTTGTGAAAATTAAATTTAATGTTTGTTTGAGAATATTTTATATAAAATATTTTATATATTTTATACAAGTCTCCGTAGAAATTGTAAGTAAACCTGTGAATTTAAAAACCTACCGTCAAGATTGTTAATATGCCCGCATTACAACCAAGTTGTAAGGATATTATCAAAATTATCAAAGTTTTGGAGCTTACTCGTAAATAAGTTTCTTATGTGGGACTGTTCATAATTTTCCCGGAAAATTCTTCTCTTAACTGCTGCTGTAACCTCTTGCGCGCCTTCGCTGGAGATCCTCTCCCCATAGCCGCCAGGTTCGCCGACAGAGCTCGTCGCCGCCGTCGCTGTCCTCCTAGTTCTCGCTGTCGTCGTCTTACAACACACCAATCCCTTCAGGTTTAGCCGTTTTCCTTCTGTTCTGTGTTTTCAGATTTCATATATCCTTTTGCATTCAAAAACCTAACAAAAAAATTAGTCCTCGAATTTTTAAGTATTTTATCCAAAAGATAAAGATGCTTCTACTAGACATAAATTCTCCATTAACGGGTTCTTTCTTCATAAGCCCATCCTACTGAGCCCTTGTTGTTACTGGAGAATTAATGGGACGCATATCAGGGCTCGGAAGCTTTCTATTCAGTATCATTGTTGGTTTGGACTTACATAGTGTTCATGTTGATTTGAAGATTGAACTTCGAAGTATTAAGGGTCATATGTTGTTGGAAGCTCTTGGCTAAATTTGAACTTTGTGATCTTTATCAGATTTACAATCTGCTTTTGTAGGCTCAACAATAATTTTTAGTGGCCTTTAATTTTGTCTAGATTTATGATATTTGCATGCTATTGAGAATATTTCCTTTTTTAGCATGGAATGTCTAACAGAACTTAACAACATGGATTTACATTTAAAGGCCATACGATAGGCTACCTTGACAATGGGGTCCAATTCCTTGAAAGAATATCTGAAAAGGTATGAAAGTAACCCAGAAGAAGGAACAACAAACGCAAAGAAGAAAAAGAAGCAAAAGAAGAAGAAACCTCAAACACAAGCAACTGGATTAGTTGTGGTGGATGAAGATCCCGTATGGCAGAAACCAGTAGATCTTGGAGAAGAAAATAGTGACAATTCATCAGGTAAATGACAAATGTTGATATGTATTCATGTAAGACAATTTATAATGGTTTTATTAATTTTTTTAAAAAAAAAGTTACTCTATTCTGTTGGTTTGCCTAGATGAGGAGAAGCCAGTAGTAGATGAAGACATTGAAGTTAAACGTATGAGGAGGCTTGAACAGCTGAGAGCCAGGCGTCATTATCATGCTATATCTGAGGATGGAAGTGGTTGGGTTTCACTTTCTCCTAAGTATGCCAATTCTAATAACATCAACAATGACATGTCTCCACCCCATAAAGGGAAGATTCGGAATGGCACTCCTTCACCAGAACCTGAATTGAATCTATTGACTTCTAATGTAGAAGATACTGATTTATCCCCTCCTCGTCAACATTCAAGACGCTATGACACTCCGTCACCTGAACACGCCTCACAACTTGCACATAACCAGGCCAAGGATTCTGATTTATCTCCCCCTCGTAAACAGAGGGCTCACAGTGTTACACTTTCCCCAGCTCGTAAGTTTAGGCCATCAGATGCTACAATTGAAGATGCTGATTTATCACCTCCTCGGCAACGGCGCAAAGGTAAACTGTATGCCGTCCCTTGAACCTAATGTTGTGGAATTTTGGGACAAAAAATGTATTTCTCATTTCTCTAATCTCATATGTGCTTAGTATGGGAGTTTATCCAGCAAAAATTTCAATAAATGCTTACAATAAATGTAAATATTCCCTAACAAATGCAATAAAGTCTGATTTCCCACAAATATTATCTTGACGATGCTCTCATTTGAATGCTGACATTTTCCTTTATTGATGTCCTCATTGTCAAACGTCAGAAGATTATGGGAAAAGAGGCCTGGAGACTGCTGAATTGCATGACATATCTCCACCTCGACGAGGTCATCATGATTCTCTCTATCAAGTCAGTTCACATAAATCATTGGAGTTGGACCTTTCACCTCCAAGGAAAAGAAGGAATATTGGAGGACGGGGTTTATCTGATCGCTCTCCCAGTCATCCTCGTAGTCCTCCTGCGAGAGTCATTTCACATCCATCTTTGTCTCCTGATCTTTCTCCACCAAGAAAAAAGCAAAAAGAAGTAGATTTTCCATCTTCTATGAAGAATCAGAAAACAGGCTTAATTTCTGGTCGAGATGTTAGGGAAGAAATTGACAAAAAGAAGAAAGATGATTGGCTGAGGTAATTGTTATTGGCTAATTTTTCTGTCCATTCTTTATTATATATATCCTATGAATTAATATGAAATATGGTGCGTTGTCCATACCTCTTGGGTTAAAACTAGGGCCTATAATTTGATACAATGAAGCTTTTTAATTTGGTTATGGCAGTACGGATGGTGCAAAATTTCTTTTAGATTTTGACATAAGAAGCGTGGCAGCTTCAGCAACAAAGAACGTTAGTTATTCAGGGTTCTTTTATGCTGTGTTTAGTGCATGTGATAACTTGTTCGATATTGCTTTTAGAACAGGCATGTTTTCATTCCGTTTCAGCGTGTGGTTACTTTGAAATTATTTTATTGGATTATGATTCTAAATTTGTGGATATATACTGTTGTCATGAAGTAACCTGCCAAAAACAAAATAACTTGTTGCTTCTGTTTCCTTAGCTTTTTGGCTGCTTTGAACTTAGTTCTCTGCATCATCTGGTATACCTGTACTTATATGCCGTACATCCATGCTTGAATTACTGATCTATGTTGTTTAAGAATTGTCAGTGTCTCTACCCTGTGGCCCTGTTTAATGATTATTAAGAATTTAATATATCAGAGTTTATGAGAAGTTGAATTTACCGTTCACCCATTCCACTTGGTAATCATTTCAACAAGAATATCTTGTATTACCCGAGAAACTGATAACAAATTCTTGCTACAGATTTAAACAGATGGATCCGAACATCAGCGGGCGTGGTGCTGAACCTGTGTATCGTGATAAAATAAAAGGTATGAAAAGTCAATCTTCATCTGATTTTTTGTGTTGAAATTATCTAATTTGCCTTTGTGTTAAATATGCTTATATGTAAATTATGTTCAACTCTGCAGGAGAACGCATTTCAAAGGAGGAATACATGAAGTCAAAACAAAAAATTAAAGAAAAGCCAAAGGTATTTTTGGTGCACCACAATCGCTTGCAACATAATCGTGTTTTTCTGGTTATAACCTTTTTATAAATGCACTGTGTACTGGGTACTGTGTCTTGGAACACTTGCCAATTGGTTTCCAATTTAGAAAACCATATGTCTAACTGCTCAAAGAACCATTTCTATCTGAATGCAATCAGTCTAAATAGCAAGATCAGCTCCAAATCATATTGCCCTAGTATACCCAGTGTAAGAACAAATGATCGCAAGTCTCAGAAAGTCGATAGTTCAGTTGAATCTGGTGATTATGCTTATTGAGAACCTGAGCAGACTTGTGCCGTTCCAGATGAACAGAATGAGTTGATGCAGAATTTTCATTTTCCCCAGGCATGTCATAATTAGAAGTCCAGAAATCTTAGAACAGAATAATAACCCCTTGGTGATAGCTTTGTATCGATTTATGTTCTATCCTTATTTGGAGCAAGATAAAGCGTAAATTGAGCAGTTTGCTCAATCCAACTTCATCAATTTCTGGATTATTCCTAGGCCATCTACACTTACTACTAAAATGAGTAATTTGATTAGTACTCCTGCCATCATAAATTATCAATGGTTAATTTACTATTGGTAGAAATGCTCTTCTACGCCCATGATGGCCCATAATCGAGCGTGTTATTTGTCCCATCTGAACATACAATGCCTTAGAATAGTGTGTTAACAACAGTTTGTGTAATTTTATGTGTTTCATGCGATAGCCTAAGGTGAAATTCTACTTCAATGGATCATTGATCTTATTTATCTTTTTCCTTTGAAAAAAAAATGCGTAGCTTAATTCTTAGCTGCCTTGTGACTTCTAGGAGATGGAAATAGAATGGGGTAAGGGTTTGGCTCAAAAACGGGAAGCTGATGCTAGACTTCAGGAACTAGAACTTGAGAAGGACAGGCCATTTGCACGTACAAGGTAATGTAATAAATATCTAAGGACTATTGTTTGTCATATTAGGTGTTTTTTTTGGAACCTGAAACCTATTACTTATTTATTTTTCCGTATAATCATCCTTCAGTGGTGGTCTTATTCATCTTCCAGCATTTTTTTCCAAATGAAATGATTGACACCTCATTGCCCCTCCCTTTATGAACAATTAATGAGTGTTCAATTTATTTGTGTTTTTGGCATAATATATTTGAAAGAATAAATTCCCTTGTCTCTTTTTCTCCATGAGAGTTTAAAGCTGTGTTTTCTGCCAGAGATGATCCGGAGCTTGACTCAGTGCTGAAGGACAGAGTAAGATGGGGCGATCCTATGGCACATTTGGTGAAGGTAATGTAATAAATCTGAGGCTGACCAATATGGTGTTGGAATTCATGTCATTCTAACATCTTGTATTTACGTTGACATGTTTCTCTTGTGGAAATTGTTTTTCTCAGAAGAAATATCCGGCGCCTGTTATTCCGGACCTGGGGGACAATGATAGAATGAGGGATTCAGGTTTCATCGTTCCTCAGGACATTCCAGATCACAGCTGGTTGAAAAGAGGTTTGGATGCTGCGCCTAATCGGTATGGGATCAGGCCAGGACGACACTGGGATGGTGTTGATCGTAGTAATGGTAGGTTTACAATTTCGTCTCATTCTAGTGACGTCTTCTATTTTCTCTCACAAATGATTTGGAATGCTTTTAGTTGTATTGATCTTAAAATGATTGACGTGGCTGTATTGTTGTGGTAGGATTTGAGAAGGAGCTGTTCAAGAGAATGAATGAGAAGCGATCCAGGGACAAAGAAGCTTACCTCTGGTCCGTGTCTGATATGTGATATGTAACTTGTGCATTCAAGAAAATTTTGTACTCGTCTTGATTAAAAAGGAAAAATGTAGTTGTCTCCCATATGAAATCGAGTAAATTGCAGAATTTTTTTTTCTTTCCAGAATCTCACACCCTTTATCGATTTTTTTAAACTCAAACGTTTTAGATAAAAACAGAATTGCGTATTTGTTTTCAAATAGTAATTTTTTTTACGTTTTAAAATATATGTAAATATCTGTTGAAGACAGAGAGGAGTATCCATGTAATAATTTTAGTAAAACAATTAAGATATTTGTTTAGTTTGCTCAATTTTTAAGATAAAGTCTTCATGTGATATTTTTTTCATTTTAGTGTTTTGAAAAAAGATTAAGAAAATTTGCATAACTATACTTTTGTTTTTTAATTGCGGGAAACTTTACAATTATGAAGGTTATCAAAAAATTCCAATGAAAAGGAGACATGAAAATTGAAGTTTGAAAAAAGTAAAAGAAAAGAAAATGTGAAAGTTAAATAAACGTGCCTGTGCGAACACAAACGATAGGAAAGTTCTGAAAGTGAAATCAAGTACGATGAACTTTATGGCATCATTTTTTGAGCGATGACTGATAAGAAACGTCTCAAAAGGATTAAGGGAATTAATTTCTTACAGAAACTTTATGCTCCGTTCAGATGAAAAAAAAATGAAAAAAAAATGAAAAGAGAGACAAACGAAAAGAAGAGAAAACTAATAAAAAAATATTATCTTTTTTGCTGTTTGGATAGAGAAGAGAAAATATGAAAGAAAGAAAATTAGCAAATATATGAATGATTAAAATACCTTTATTCTTAAATATATCATGTTATAAATCAAATTAAATATCATAATAAAAAAATCATATTAACGTTAATATCATTAAATAATTTAAAAATCAAATTATTTGATAAAAATTTATTATCATGTGATTATATTTTAAAAACCAAATAATTTAGTAAAAAAAATTATTTTTAAAGGTAAAAATAAAAAAGTGGGCAATCCTTTTTAAATCAAACATTATAAAATGAAATAAATAAATTACGTATTATTTAAGATTATTAATAAATAGTAAAAATTTAATGTAAAAGTTGAAAGAGATGAAGAAAATGAAGAAATTATATACATATTAATTTGTGCAAATTTCCTACATTCATTAACTGTGAAAGAATGGAGTTCATGTGTAGCTTTTGTTTTTTGCCACAGTATAATGAGATAATTTTGTTGAATTATGAAGTAGTTATAAGTAAAATTAAAAAGAAAAAGTTACATTAAAGGTGGAATATGATATTATTGGACTATATTTAAAGAGAATATATGAGGAATGTGAGCTTTCTTCTTATTTTCTCCTTATATATAGAGAGAAAATAAGGTGGGCAAAAATAAGGTGGACCCTATACCCTATTTTCTCTCCTACTTTTCTTTCCTCTCATTTTTTCCTTTCATCGAAACAGAAAAAACTTATTTTTTTCCTTTTTCCTCCTTTGTTTTCTTTCCATCCAAACATGAAGTTAGAGTTATTATAACTTCAAAAACGTGAAGCATTCAGTAACCAAACCAAGAACATAAAAAATTCAAAGCCTTGAGGTTGACACAAATGGAGAAAGATGTAAAGCTAAGAATGTTAATATATTATATTATATTATGGTTCCTCATGGAAACAAAATCTAGGGTTTAGGCCAGCGATACATGAGATCCCACTTGTTAGTCTCAGCATCAAACCAGTACCAACCATCAGTTCTGATACTCCATTTGCAGTCTGTGCACTTGTTATCGTCTCTGGTTGCTCTGTACACATCGAAGCTTCCCTTCACATGGTTGCCCCACCACATGTCGCAGTAGAACAAAGTTATCGCTGCGAACGCGTTGCTTCTGAACTCCCATTCAAAAGTGCTGTGAAACGACAGGTTGTGTATTCCCAAATCATCGTCTTTGGATTTGCAGTGTATGTTCAAAACGCGGCCCTCCCCCAGGTCGTTCGTGATTCTCACATGCCTCTTTGGAATTAAAGAAATCTTCTCAGAATAACTTGGTGCCCCTTTTGACACCACAAAGAGTAGTGATGATGATGCCATGAGAAGCAAAAGAGAAAGTGCTGCTGAATATTGCCTCGCCATTATTGTCTCCTCAAGGAGATGCTAAAATTAGAGTTGATGATATAACGATTGTTCTCAACAATCCCATTGAGGAAGGAATGAGAGATTTTGACTTTTGGTAGAGGAGGAAATATTAAAAGCTACAAGTAATTAATGACTTAAATATAAAGATAAGGTTCATTTTGAATCCCTTTTATTCTGGGCATTAATAGCATTTAAAACTGTATCATTCATGCTTGCTAGGAAGATAGTATTGAAGTACTACCATTTATTTTAAGCTGCTAAAGTCGTTTAATTTTATACAGAGTCTAAGTTTGACTTTTTAATTTTATAAAGTATGTTTTTAGTCATTGAACTGTAAATTTGTCAACAAAAAATGTTAACATTGAGGTCTTAAATAAAACATTCTCAAATACTAATATGTTAAGTTTAATTTTCAAAACAATCATGATTATTAAAAATAATCATTTCAATCTAACGATTTTATAGTTAAAAAAACTAAAAATATACTCTATCTGTCCTTTTTTATAAACAACAATTGTTATCCCGTCTCTAAATATAAGCAACATTTACAAGTTGTCTTAAATTTTGTAGCAAATTTCCTATTTTACCCACATTAATTACTTATTATAATACTCAATATATTTATTATCATATTTTTCAAATCATCATCTCTCTCCATCACATATTCTCTTTCTTTCATAATTCTCTCTATTATAATAATTTTCTTCTTCTCTTTCTTACACTCTCTCCCCCCATAAATAAGGGTATTTTAAAAAAAATAATTTCTAATTTCTATATATTTATTTTCTTTAACTACTCTTTGGTCCTATTTATAGGGCAGAGAGAGAATTTTTCGGGTTTATTTATAAGTCACTTCATTAAATTTTTACCATGAATGTACTATATTGTTATTCATTTATTATAGTATAGATAGTTATTTCTTTTGAAATGTGTATATATTAAATAAGGGTAAAATTGAAAAGTTGCTATATTTTAACGAAGAGTTGATATAGTTTAAGGTTTTTCTTGGTATATGTGAAATACGTTAGAAGTGCCTTATAAATAGGACAAGATGAGTAACCTTTTGATCTAGGTAATAGAGTCCAAGATTGCTTATAAAAAGGAACGGAGGGAATACTTTTTAAATTTAAATAAATTAAATTGAAACCTTGAATATATACAGTTAAAGGAGAAAATGTATACTTTAACATTTATTTTATGAATCTAATGAAGGAAAAAAAAGAAAAGAAAAAATTTATAGATACCTATACTTTTCTTTTATTTTTAATTTGGTACTTATGTGTTTTTCTCTCCTAGTTAAAAAAAAAAAAAGAGAGGAAAAATGGATTTTGGTTATGAACTAATACAAACCAGTACAAAAAATTCGCATAAAATGATCAAAATTATATGAAAATATCCTCGGTTGACCTTGTGTTGATTGATTGCCTTGAGATATGGATGACATAAAGAAAGGAGAAACAAATTTAATTACATTTATATCAGTTGCTTATAGATTCTAGAAGACTACAATCTACATAGAACAAAGTTAACACCAGGGGTCCTTTGGTATGAGAAAATGGAGAGGAGAGGAGATGAGGGAGAAAAATTTTATTGAGGTCCACTTAAAAAATTGAAGAATTTGGATTAAAAGATTTTAACTTTTTTTTTACATTTTTATCTTACATATTTTTTTTATCAGAATTTTATAACCATACTAGTAATGGAGAAAGTAGATGCTAGCTACGAATGTTAATATATTATATATGGTCCCTCATGGATACAAAAATCTAGGGTTTAGGCCAACGTAACGATGCATGAGATTCCAGTTGTTACTCTCAGCATCAAACCAGTACCAACCATCACTTCCATTTGCAGTCTCTGCACTTGGAATCATCTCTGGCTGCTTTGTACACATCGAAGCTTCCCTTCACCAACACGTGCTTGTAGCAATATAATGTAACAACGTTATCTTTACAAACGCATTTAGTTTTGCTTCGTGAAGGAGATATTATGCCCAAATCATCAGTTTATGATACAAGGATTACTCTCAACAGCCGCGTATTAATATATACTACCTCCGACCTTTAATGTAAATGTTAGTTTACTAATTTGAGTAACTTAATTAAGAAAGTTTGTTAAGTTAATTATTTGTAATGAATAGGTTTTGTTTTTCCTAGAATATCCCTGCTAATTATGTATATTAGTTAGAACTATTATTTGTTGAAATCTTTAATATGTACAACTATTATAAGGACTACTTTATAAAAAATTAGATAAATATGAGAGACAAAATAAATTAGAGTCTTATATTTAGAACTAAATTAAAAGTTAAAGTAGCTTTTATATTAAGAATTGGAGGTAATATTGGGAAATGAGAAATCATGTTGTCATATATGCTTATCATTATTTTATTTAATGCTATGTATATAAGATAATACTTTATAGAATAAAGTTCATACTACATCACTAAGTAAAATTAATTAAGTAAGTGATTCACAATATTTAATTTGAAACGCCACTCGTTGGAAGGAAAAAAGAAAGAAAAGAAAAGCTACTCAATATAGATCGTATATCTATTGCCTCGATTATATTGGAGATTCAATTTCTGATTGCTTTGATGACCTATCTACAAATTTATTATTGAGAGATATGCTGTTTGACATTCAATAACAAGGGAAAAAAAAAGATAAGAAATATGACTCAAAAACAAAATAGATAAATTTATTATATAACTAAACAAATTATTAAATTATCATAAAAGCATTAGTTTTATAGCCGCCGGCACATAAAATACATTGTCATTTATTCAAATCTAAGGAGACAATATTGTAGAAATTGAATTATACTTTCTTTTTTGTTGTATTGGTCTTAAAAATGATTGACGTAATAAGCTGTTTTGCGATTTTTATTTTATTTTAGTGTTTTGAAAAAAGAGTAAGAAAATTTCCATAACTATAATTTATTTGCACGATATGATGCTGCGCATCCTAAATGTGGATTGTCGTACATT